ATATTTTTTTATTGACTTCAGAGTGGAAGGGAAAGGGAGAGAGAGTTAGGAACATCAATGAGAGAGAATCATTGATCAGCTGCCTCCTGCATGCCCCCCACTGGGGATCGAGCTCACAACCCAGGCATGTGCCCTTGACCACAATCGAACCCAGGACCCTCTAGTCTGTTCTATCCACTGAGTCAAACTAGACAGGGCCACAGTTTTAATTTTGATAAGATAATGTCTCACTGCCCTCTAGGGACATTACAACGATTTGTAATTCCACTTGGAAGAGTATGATAGTAGGCACTTAAAAAGAAACTCGGAGACACAGACAACAGAATGAACGGTGGTTACCAGAGGGGCAGTGGGTGGGAGGGAGGATGAAGAAACCAGACTTTGGGGTGATGAGCAAACAATAGAGTACACAAATGTCAAATTATAGTCTTGTACATCTGCAAATTATATAATGTTACTAGAGGGCCCGGTGCATGACATTCATGCACTGGGGAGGGGGGTGTCCCTCAGACTGGGCCAAAAGGGGCCCTCTTGCAGTCCAGGACCCCTCGGGGGATGTCTGCCTGCCGGCTTAGGCCCGGGTTGCAGGTTCAATCCCCAGTGTGGGGTGTGCAGGAGGGAGCCGATCAATTATTCTCTCTCATCATCGATGTTTCTATCTCTCTCTCCCCTCTACCTTCCTCTCTGAAATCAATAAAAGTATATATTTTTTAAAAATTGCTTTACAGCCTGACTGGCATGGCTCAGTGGTAGAACATTAACCTCTGAACCAGGAGGTCCCAGTTTGATTCCCAGTCACGGCACATACCCCGGTTACAGGCTCAACCCCCAGTTTGCGGTGTGCAGGAGGTAGCCAATCAATGAGTCTCTCTCATCATTGATATTTTTCTCTTTCTCCCTCTCTGAAAGCAATAAAAAACATTTTTTTAAAAAATTGCTTTACAGGAGGGAAAACAACATAGTGGAAATTGCAAAGATAAGCATGAGAACTCTGTTAGGAGAGCCACGAGTTACTGCCTTACACTTTATTCCTGCTGTTTAGAACTACATGATGGGAAAGCGGGCATTTTGTGGTATCCCAGGCTCTAGAGCAGTGCTTAGAATAGGTGCTCAAGGCATGCTTGCTGAATGGATCAGTGAATTTATGGAAACAGTGTGTCATGTGACACTACCTAGAGACACTGAAATCTTGGTACCTCCGGTGAAACTCAAATTTTTGTATTTATTATTCCATAGGGGGTTGGCGTCTTCCAGTCAGAGACCTCGAGAAGACAGCTGGTTAAAATCCTTATTTGTCCGGAAAGTTGATCCAAGAAAAGATGCTCACTCTAATCTCCTAGCCAAAAGGGAAACAAGCAGTCTATACAAAATACAGTGTGAGTGATAGGTCTGCTATCTTCACAGTTGACTTTTCTCCCTTTGTTCATAAGTTCATCGTGGAATTTTCTTTTGTTTCAGTTCACAATGTTAAACCGGAATGCCTAGAAGCATACAACAAAATTTGGTGTGTATACCAAACTATCGTTTACTTGGGGAAAATAATGATTTTAATATTTGTTAGTTCAGTCAGCACTTGATAGCAGAGTGAGATCTTTGTTCCATTTTCTTAAAGCTGAACGCTCAGAGGCTTCTTAAATTGAGCTCTGCATGGGATTACAAAGGGCATTTTGTAAGCACTCAGACAGTAAATCATCGCATAAGCTACAAACCTTAGGATGTTACTAGACTCAGGGTTGGAAGGAACCTTACAAGGTTGTCTAGTGCATCACCTCATCCAGTGCTTGAGCCCTTTCCGCACACCTTCCTGCCTGCCTGTGCCTAGACACACTCATACATTCCGTCTCTGGGCAGCTCTGAGTGTTAGGAGTTAGAACTTGTGTCTCTGCGACTTCCATTGTTTCCCATTTTACTTCTCAGTAAAACTGTCCCGTTTGCACGTAGCTGCCATTTCTTCCCACATCTTGCATTCACCAGGATGCAAGTCCCTTCAGCAGGTTCTCATGATTTGTGACCGATATGTACTTACAGAACTTGTAAACTTTTAGACTAAAGAGAAAAGTAAGTGTATCAGTTCTTAATTAAATTAATAGAAATAGTATTTTAATGAGCAAATATAATTTAAAAGCTTTTTTTTTTTTTACTTTTAAAATCTGCTACTTTCATAAGGAAAGAATGATTCTGTCACCAGAATCAGCAAAATTTTCAGAAGCAAAAACCTATTGTTTTATTTTTGGATGTGGTTTGTGAAATAACATTAGTAAAGAATTTCTTACTGCAGCACAATTTTCTTTGTTAAAAAATGCCCTTAAAAAAGGCAGACACTTATTTTCTAAATCTTTTCTCATAAAATGAAATTATTTCTCTGTGCTGATGTTTCCTTGAGTTATCTTCCCTGTCCTGTTTTTATTCATCTCCTGTCTCAGATTTCTGTCTGTTCATAATTCTATTTGGATGTCTTGCTCTTCCTTCAAACTCAACACATAGAATCACCTTGCTCTTTCAACATCGCTGTATGTGTCAATCACCATGGTTTTATTTAACCCTTTCCTTAGTTGTTTGTGATTAGTTACTAAAGGCTGTGTGTTCTCCATTTGACACGTATTTTAGTTCTCTGCTTTTTCCTTCTCCATCTCTCTTTCCCAGCCTGTTGAGCCCCATTTCCAACTACCTCCTTTCTGACTCCTTCCTGGACTTGTAGCTGTATCTGTACTTCCACCTCAACCTGTAATCCATTGTGCAAAACTTTGTCAGCTTGATCTGCTTGAGTTCTGTTTTCTCCTTCCTCTTGTTCTTTTTCTCCTTTCTCTGAAACTTCAGCAGCTCCTTGTTTGCAGTACTTAGAGACTTAACCCCTGCCTGGTTTGTTGGGGCCCCAACAATGAGGTTCTTTCCAGCCTATCTAGTTCTGGGTGTAGGTATTACCTACCTTACAACCTCCAGGTAAGGCCAGGGCTTCCAAAAGCAGGTTGGGGGCTTCCCACAAAGAGGGTTGGCTGCAAGTCCATGTGACTTTGTATTGGTGAAAACCTACGCCCCACTGGCAGTCCCCTTCCTGGACCCACCTGGGTCATTTGTACAGGCTTCCTCCTACACTGGCTCCAGTTCAGGGTTATTTACTTCCTGCTCATGCCATACGACCAAAAGGAAGCCCCTTTCATTTCCCTAACAATCCCAGCCCCGATTCCCATTAATCTCTTGGTTCTGAACATAAGTCTGTATGAGTCAGTACAATGACCACACCATGTGTATTTTTAGAAGATGGCATTTACTTTTATGGGTGTTTAGTTAGACATAGACCATTCTAACCTTTCCTCTGTTGACTGTTAGTATACACCAGTGATGGCGAACCTTTTGAGCTCGGTGTGTCAGCATTTTGAAAAACCCTAACTTAACTCTGGTGCCATGTCACATATAGAAATTTTTTGATCTTTGCAACCATAGTAAAACAAAGACTTATATTTTTGATATTTATTTTATATATTTAAATGCCATTTAACAAAGAAAAATTTAAAAAATGAGTTCGCGTGTCAGCTCTGACACGCATGTCATAGGTTCGCCATCACTGGTATACACCCTATCCTGGTGCCCCAGCTCTAGTGGTGACTATTAGTTTACTATCACTCAGTGTCGGCAAATAATTTGAACTGGTTCCAATTCTGATCCTTGATGTCTTTTTGTATCCATTGTTGAACCTGTATTATACTTTTTATCATAATTTTTCTATTCAAAAAAAGAAAGGCTTAGCTTTTCTCTTGGCATGGCATAGTTATGTCTCCTTTGCCTTTCCCTGTAAATTAGAATCTGCACTATAGGAAGGTTTCTATAGAACCAAGCTCTGATACCTCTGTTCAGGTAATACGTTGCCATGACCTGGTGTGGCTTTGCCTCTGCTCTCTGCAGTCAATGCTAATGGAATGGGTAGTGTGTGCGGTGTGGGATTACGTGATACGTTCAGATCCCCTCAGTTGGTTGCATTGAATAGAACCTAATCATTGCTTTCTGTTGTATTTTTCATTTGGATTCTACTGTCACGAAATGTCCTTTGGAACTATTGAAGTTGTGTTGTATTCTAGCTCTGTCTTCCTCCTTACTTACGGCTGACTTTTCTCTGCCCCGTTACCACTGCCTGATTGTGCTGTCTCCCCTGACTTAAACATTACTTTCTTCCCTTTCTTATTTTTCCCATGTTCTTTTTCTACTATTTCCATTTCCCTTATTCTTCCTATCTTTGAATCAGCAAAACTTGGCTTTTATAAACATCACCATTCTTAAGTACTTCTTTCTGAAATGGCAAATGGCACCCATAGTTCCTAGAATCTTGGAACCTTTAGCTCTTTATCATTTTTATCACTATACTCAAGTTGGGGGTAATGAAACCTAAGCTTCTGATAAGTGGGGTATCAGAGTAGAACAGAATTCAGCGAAAAGGTTAATTTTGCATGTTGTTTTATCATAAATATATTCTGAGGTCAATTATCAGAACATGGAGTAGGTGACCTTTTTCCTGTTACTGATCATGTTTTGTCCACCTGGTGTAATTTTGTTGGTTGTTTAATTAGTGTTGCTATCTCTTCTCTTTAAGTCAAGAGGTGTTGCCAAAGATTCACGAAGATAAACATTACCCTTGTACTTTGGTGGGGACTTGGAACACGTGGTATGGCGAGCAGGATCAAGCTGGTAGGAAGCAGACGTCTTTGGCATAAACACTTGTTCCTTCAGCCATTTATAATATTTAATTTCATGCTTGTTTTTATAATCAAAGCTTTCCAAGTCTCAGTCTGGTTTTATGGTTAAAGTCATTTCTCCAGTAATTCATTGCAAAAACTTTTTTATTGTTTTAATATTTGAATGTGTTATTATAACTTTATATTGTAACTCATAGGCAACATGTGGCACATTGTACTTTTGTACTGTGTTAATATTATACACATCTGGAATATTTTCAAGGTAAGAGTATCATGAAACTCTAAATGGATGTTATCTTTTAAAATATATTCCAGTCCACCTCTGGAGGTATGAAGGAGGCTATCCCGCCCTCACGGAGGTCATGAATAAACTCAGAGAAAATCAGGTAATGATTTTGAAAAATGTTTACATTTTTACACTAATGATATAGTGATGTTAGTACAGAATTAAATGTTTTTTGTAGTAAAAATTTTATTATTTGGACTCTCTGAAGATGTATGCAAACATAAAGTAACCAATTATAATATTATTAAAATACAGTTTGTTTGTTTTTTTAAATTCTCACCTGAGGACATTTTTTAAAAATATATTTTTATTAATTTCAGAGAGGAAGGGAAAGGGAGGGAGAGATAGAATTATCAGTGATGAGAGAGAATCATTGATCAGCTGCCTCCTGCACACCCCACACTGGGGATCGAGCCCACAGTCCAGGCATGTGCCCTGACTGGGAATCAAACTGTGACCTCTTGGTTCATAGGTCGACGTTCCACCACTGAGCAACGCTGGCCAAACCTGAGGACATTTTTCATTGATTTTGAGAGAGAGAGAGAGAGAGAGAGAGAGAGAGAGAGAGAGAGAGAGAGAGAGAGAAACATTGATGTGAGAGAGAAACATTGATAGGTTTCCTCCCATATATGCCCCAACCAGGGCTGGGGATTGATTCCACAACCTAGATATGTGTCCTGACCAGGAATCAAACCTGGGACCTTTTAAAAGTGTATAGAATGACGTTCCTAGCAGCTGAGCCACACCAGCCAGGGCTAAAAAAGCAGTTCTCATTCTAAAAGTCAGTTGTACTTAGAAACTGAAAAGCTGGTACTTTGAAACCGGTAAGTCAACACTCTAGACACAATCAGCCTTTGGTTAACTAACACCTGCTTCAGGAACATCTAGCCACATATTCTTTACCTTGGGCTGACTTTGCTATCCTCTCCCTCCCTAACAGGTGCATGTTAGTGGAGAGGATTTTAACAGACATTATTAGGAAAGAAACCCATTTGAAAAAAAAAAATTTTTATTGATTTTAGAGTGAGAGGAAGGGAGAAGGAGAGTTAGAAACATCAATTGGCTGCCTCCTGCATACCCCCTACTGAGGATTGAGCCTGAAATCGGGCATGTGCCCTTACTAGGAATCAAACCAGCAACCTCTTGGTGCATGGGACAATGCTCAACCACTGAACCACACCAGCTGGGCAGGAAAGAAAACCTTTTGTATAGCTTCCCAGTCTAAATATAAATGGCTTTTGGATTCTTTGATTTTGTTTTGTTTTGTTTTGTCTGAATTTTTATGAGTTTATCTGAGCCAAACTTGTCCGGAAGCAAGATCTCAGATACTCCCAATTCTTTGATGGTTTGTAGTCTTCATGTCACTGTTGTTATTACACTGTCACCCCCTGTTAAGAGAACCTAAAAAGTGGGAAATTGCATTTGTTTATATTGTCATTTAAATAATTAGGGTGGCCATGTAGCTTGTCATCTAAATCTGGACACTTAAGAGTGAAAGGGAATGGTAATAGTCGTTGGGCTGATTTGATAAGATGTAAACTGGGCCCTAGCCAGTTTAGCTCAGTGGATAGAGCGTTGGCCTGCGGACCAAAGGGTTCTGGGTTTGATTCCAGCCAAGGGCATGTACCTTGGTTGCGGACTCCTCTCTGGCCTGGGCCCTGGTCAGGGGCGTGCAGGAGACGCAACCAATGGATATGTTCCTCTCACATCGATGCTTCTCTCTGTCTTTCCCTCTCTCGTCCGTTCTCTCTAAAAGATCAATGGAAAAATATTCTCGGGTGAGTATTAACCAAAAAATAAAAATAAAAAAACATGTAAACTGGGACTGTCTCAGGACATTGGGACCCTATTTGTAATAGTATTCTATTATAGGAGGAATGCAACTGTTACTAAAGCGGGCTTATGTATAAATACTAGATGATTTCATGAGCACATTTTTTCACCCAAAGGAATTTTTGCATTTCCGGAAGGCAAGAAGCAACATGCTTCTTTCCAGGAAGAACCAGCTGCTATTAGAATTCAGTTTCTGGAATGAGCCTGTTCCACGGCCAGGACCTAATATATATGAACTCAGGTCTTACCAGCTTCGAGTAAGTACTGAAATATGAGTTAACTGTTCCTCATGAGTACCCTTAATGCTGATAAAAAAGTTGAGTGTACATTCTGTGATTTGTTTGGCATTATATTTTGGCTCGTTGTCACCCCTATCTAGTCCTCTTTTCTTTTTTTTTCTTTTTTTAATCTTCGTAGTTTCTCATTCCTTCTCTTCTGCTAAGCTCTTTTGTCTTTTCTAATCTTATACATAATATTTATTATTTGACATTATATAGCATTTCTATTTTTAAGAGGAAAGACCTAAAATGCAGCACTAGGTACATCATTTAGCATCTAATGTAATTGAGCTAGAGCAACTAATAAATGTGTGACTATTGAATAAATTGATTCATTAATTTATTAAAGATTATAAGATTAAAAGGGAATAAATAATATTTTGTAAGACTTTCTAGATGTTCGTCCACTAAATGACTACTAGCAAGAAAGCCCAGATAGCACCATTGTTCAACACTCACCATTATACTGGAAATTCAACGTGATGTCCTTATTAAGTTTACTTAAATAGAATTTTTTTTAAAGCTTTCACAGTAAAGTCTGAATGAATACCCACCAACAGTTTAATAATTAAGTTCATCTGGAGGATGGGCCTAAGCATGGTTTTGATAGCAACCACAACTGAATGACTTATGGTAGGTTTATAGTTGTAGGTGAAACAGTTTATTCTTGTGTTGTTATGTGTTAATTACTGTATTATTTCCCATACAAACAACTGTAAACCTACTTTTGCCCCACCCAGTATGTTGTCTTCTTATATGAAGCCATAGACTGTTTTATTTCCACTAGAGGATAAGTATGAACACAGTGAATAATAATATTTTGTTGCTTTTTTTTTTATTATTGATTTTTTACAGAGAGGAAGGGAGAGGGATAGAGAGTTAAAAACATCGATGAGAGAGATACATCGATCAGCTACCTCCTGCACACTCCCCACTGGGGATGTGCCCGCAACCAAAGTACATGCCCTTGACCGGAATCGAACCTGGGACCCTTGAGTCCGCAGGCCGACGCTCTATCCGCTGAGCCAAACCGGTCAGGGCTATTTGGTTGCATTTTTTAATTTGTTACATCTCACATGATTAAAAATTAATTTTTAAGTTAGTTTTCTCATTTGTTTTATTACACTTTTATTCTATATTTCTTCATAAGAGGACTAATAAGCCAAAATTCAAATCTCTTTCAGCCAGGAACTATGATTGAATGGGGCAATTACTGGTGAGTATATTACCAAATGGTGAGTTTGTAAGTCTTAGTAATAGATTATATTAGGCCATCATGTTAAGTCTAGGGGTAAATTCTGGGGATAATGCTGTGATTTGATACTAGACTATTGTGTTACTTGACATTTTTATTATGAAATTTTTCAAACATACACAAAACTAGGGAGAATAATCCATGGATTCCCCTCTTTCCATACCCATTACTTAGCTTCAATAATTATCAACACATGGCCAGTCTTGATTGGAGAGGGGCGCACAAGGGATCTTTTTGCGCAATTGGATTGTAGTGATGGCTGCACAAGCCTGAAATTTACTTTAAAAACATGGATTGTACACTTACGTGAATTTTATGGTATGTAAAATATACCTTGATAAAGCTACCAATGACATACCTCACTAAAGAGAATTTATACACGAATCCAAAGCTGACTCAAAGTGAGGAAACTGATTAATGTAACACATACAATGAGGCTGCAATTAGGTGCCCAAAACCTGCTCTGGCCTCTGCACCCCCAACACATGCTTCCATGCCGTTGTTAGAGCATTTATCACACCCCAGCAGCGCCTTCAGTTTCCAGTTCTACAGCTGCTTGCAAGGTGTGGCACATCCTGAGTGGTAAGTGTTGAATGGATGGCAAAAAACTAGTGGTCACATAAGAAAAGAAAGTCTGTTGCAGTTGCCATATTGTAGACAAGCTCTGTGCCTTAGTGGAAAGATTACAGTATATTCATGCAGTGGGATTCTATACAGTGGTTAAAGTAAACCTGATCTGTACCTGTTAGCAGAGCCATCTAGGAAACACCACATTGAGGAGAGAGTTAAAAATATGTACAACATGATGTCTTTTATGTAAATTTTAAAAAGATTTAACAAAAAAGTTATATAAACAAGATATTTAATAAGAGCTATATAAAAAGATATAACTATTGTTCATAGATACATACATATAAAGTAGAAATATAAAACCATGGACAACAAGACTCATATTCAAGAGCAAGAACTACTTCCAAAGAGTAGTGACTGATGGGGGAGGAAGACAGGGTTGACGATGAAGAGGATTAAAAGAGAGCTACAATGCAAAAAGAGCTGAAGCAAATACAATAAAACGTAGTGTTCATGTTTTAAAAATCTAGGTGACTAGAATGGTTGAAATCCTATCTAATAAAACCCTAATATGCAAATTGACCAAATGGCAAATGACCAGTCACTGTGACACACACTGACCACCGGGGGCAGACACTCAACGCAAGAGCTGCCCCCTGGTGGTCAGTGCACTCCCATGGGGGAGCACCACTTAGCCAGGACCCAGGCTCACAGCTGGCAAGCGCTGTGGCGGTGGCAGGAGCCTCTCCTGACTCTGTGTCAGCGCTAAGCCATCAGTCAGACATCCCCCGAGGGCTCCCGGACTGCGAGAGGGTGCAGGCCGGGCTGAGAGACCCCCCACACACACCCTCCTCCAGTGCACAAATTTCATGCACCGGTCCTCTAGTATTTCATAATTGAAAAATTTTAAATCATCTTAATTCATATTCAGAAGTCATTTGATAAAATTTGACACATTTTATTAGAGATGCTAAGTCCTAATTTTAAAAAAGCACTAAAATTAGGAATAAAGAACATTTTATTTAAATCAGGGTTTGGCACAAACTTGTCTGTAAAGGACCAGATAGTAAATACGATAGGCTTTGTGGACCTTGCTATGTTGGTCACTGCTACTTAGCTCTGCTGTCTAATGCGAAAGCAACCTCGGGCAGTGTGTAAGTGAATAATGTGACTGTGTTCCAACAAACTTTATGGATGCTGAAATTTGAATTTCCTACTTTCATGTGTCATGAAATAAATTTTTTTATTTGTGTTTTTTTTTCAAGCACTTAAAAATGTGAACACCATTCCTAATTCCTGGGCCATAAAAACAAGCTGCATAGGGTGGGATTTAGCTCAAGGTCTGTAGTTTGCTGGCCCTGATTTAAATGATAAAACTGTCTCTCCATTTTAACAGCTACTTTAAATTTAATGGTGAAACACAAGAAGCATGCTCATTACCATTAAAACAAAATACTACCATACTTTCACCATTATGATCTATAGTAATAAAAGGGTAATATGCTAATTAGACTGGATCTCATTCTGGATGAAGCTGGGACTGCAGGGAAGGCCGGATACTGGGTGCCTGCCGGTGGCCAGTGGGAAACCTGGGTCCTGAGTGCCCGCTGGCGGCCGGAACAAAGCCCAGGTGCCTGCCAGCTGCTGGAGCGAAGTCCGGGTCCCAAGTGTCAGAGGGAAGCTGGTGCTGGCAGCTGGGGGAAGGAAGGCCTACTCTTGGACGAATTTCGTGCATCAGGCCTCTAGTTGTATAATAAAAGCATAATATGCTAATTAGACCGGACAGCCAAACAACCTTCCAGACAAAGCTGGGGCTGCGAGGGCCGAGGCCCTTGCACGAATTTTGCGCATCGGGCCTCTAGTAATTGTATGTTGTATTTGGAAATCCTGACTATTGTAATAAGAGAAAAGACAAGCCAAATATCTAAAGCCTAAGCCAGGGGTCCTCAAACTACGGCCCACGGGCCACATGCAAATACAAATATTGTATTTGTTCCCATTTTGGTTTTTTACTTCAAAATAAGATAAGTGCAGTGTGCATAGGAATTTGTTCATAGTTTTTTTTAAAACTATAGTCCGGCCCTCCAACGATCTGAGGGACAGTGAACTGGCCCCCTGTTTAAAAAGTTTGAGGACCCCTGGCCTAAGCAACCGTTCGACCAGTAGCTATGACATGCACTGACCACCAGGGGGCAGACACTCAAAGCACAGGCATGGAAACATGGAACAGACTGATGAATCTCAGAGGGAAGGAGGTAGGAGGGAGGGCAGGAAGAGATTAACCGAAGATCTTATATGCATGTTAGAGGCCCGGTGCATGGATTCGTGCACCAATGGAGTCCCTTGGCCTCGGCTCCGGGGACCAAGCCAAAACCAGCAGTCTGACATCCCCTGAGAGGTCCTGGATTGCAAGAGGTTGCAGGCCAGGCCAAGGGACCCCACCAGTGCACGAATTCGTGCACTGGGCCTCTAGTATAATAGTATTAAGCCTCAATAATTAAGAGGTATGCAAGAGTAGATTATTGGCCATTGGTGGGCTATTGACCCTTGGTTCATCTTTATCCTTAAAGGAGAACTTGTGACTTTTATTTATTTTCAACATAAATGCTCTTCTTCTTGCATTGGACTAGATAATTTTTAAGAACTGTTCTAGCTCCAAAAAGTGGTTCTATGATCTTTATTTCTAATGAGTCTTTTCTTTTTAGGTCATCAAAGGTTAAAGAATGCAAAGTTAGAAATTCCCTTATTTTGAAAACTAAGAAATATATATTTGATTGTACATATGGGGGAGGAAAAAAACATTTTCCTCCCACCCTTTTAAATCCTGGCTGGACTAATAATCAAATTAGCATAAGACAGATTGATAGGAGAAAATGACCAAATTTATTATGTATGTTCCATAAGAATATGAGATCCTAGGACATACCTGGCAGTTAAGGCTTCTGTGCCATCTTGAGCCAAGGAGAAGGGAGTGTTGTGGTTTGGGACTTCAAAGGCAGCAAGGCAATTCACATGGAGATGAAAAAGCAAACATTTGCAAAAAAAAAAAAAAAAAATGTTTGCTGGGCCATCTTTAACAGTGAGACACAGAGAGGACTTTGACCAAACAGGCCTTGCTCCCCGTCTATGGCACCTGGTCCGTCTTACACTGTAGTTATCTTTGCTAATAGCTCTCTTCCTGTAGCATGTCCTCTATCTAAATTCTCTTAGGCAGTTAGGGGAAGTCTTTCATTTCCTAAAAATAACCAGTTTAAAGTAATGTCTCAAAAGTATTTTGGGGTGGCAACTCACTTTCCCTCATATACTATTACAGGCACCGTTTTATTAAGGGTTTTTTTGAGGGGGGAGAGGAGCTTGTATATATAATAATTTAGTTGTCCATAGAGTCGGATTGTTCTGGGGTTGTTGGTTTTTGTTTTTGTTTTTGTTTTTTTGTCTGTTACTAATTAAAACTTGCCCACCATGGAATCCATGAGGAAGAACTGAGATTATTCTTCAGTTATTTTGAAAACTACTTATAAAATCAGTTCAGCGTTCAATTTATATTTTGGCACATAGGTAACTATTTTAAGATGGTGATCTCCTCTTCACTACATGCTTCTGATTATGACCAGGCTAAGGCAAGTATGTCTTCTTTGCCCACTGTAACTGAGCTGGAAAAATTCAGAATGAAATGAATAATCCTGAATATTTATCACTGGCAATGTAGGAGTATTTTTTCCTTCTGAGTTAGAATGCACGTTAATGTGATTTGCTTAATCTCAATAATTTACCAATCAGATTTGTAATTTTTGTGAAGACATTGATCAATTAATTCTAAATGCAAAAGTTAAAGAATTTAATATCATTTGGGGGTAACCCATGGGGGCAATAGCAAGAGATCCCGCCTTCACCAGAAAAGAACCTGAAAGCGTGGGGCACGTGAATGAGAGCGGAGGATTTCGACCTGATCTTAAGGAGCCTGGCTTCCTCCCTTCCACCACAGGTTGCCCTTGCTCTAACCCAGCCGTGGGCAAACTACGGCCCACGGTCCGGATTCGGCCCGTTTGAAATGAATAAAACTAAAAAAAAAAAAAAGACCGTACCCTTTTATGTAATGATGTTTACTTTGAATTTATATTAGTTCACACAAACACTCCATCCATGCTTTTGTTCCGGCCCTCCGGTCCAGTTTAAGAACCCATTGTGGCCCTCGAGTCAAAAAGTTTGCCCACCCCTGCTCTAACCCCTACCCCCTGACCCTTTGGTGATGTTCTAATTCAGTTGCTGTGAAGTTTGCCTCCAGGAATGGAATTCACGAATCAATTCAACTGAAAATCATCCCTAGAGGGTTATGTCTCACTGTACGTATTAGTAGATTGGCATGCTTGCTCATATGCCTCCAGCTCTTCACAGTGAGTTAGAATAAACCCATCTTCCCAAGTCCTGCCAACTCTGGGACCACGATGGAAAGCCTAGGTAGTGTTGATATAAATTTTTTCAGCTTTGATTCTAGAAAACTGCTTTTGGGAAAATATATACATTTCAAAATATTTTTAGGATTTCAAATGCATCACTAAATATAAAAATAAAGTACCTGGAGCAGATATGAAAGAAGGTGTTTGAAGAGCTGATACCTTTTGCAATAGGAAGTCTTAAGGAAAGTTAAAGACAGATGCCAATTGTCAACCAATTTAATCACAATTTCATGTTATACGAATAGAGACAACGTATGTCCATACTTTCCTCCACACGTAATACACAGTGAATGCCATTTGATACTCATTTTCCTAATGGTTTGCTCTGGTAAGAAGAAATACCCAGCAGAAGATTCAGTTTTGATCCTGACACTGTGTGGCCAAGAAGTCCCACCCTCATGGTCCTGTGTGCTTCCTGAGAGGTTGCAAATCGCCTTTATAGTTCAGAGAGCTCCCGTGATTCTCCGAGTCACTGTCTCCCACTGCTGTGAAGGCATGCTTCCTTCATCTCAACCCGTTCTCCCTGTGGCATCTCGGGTGTCTTCATACCCAGGTTTCCCTCACTTTCAGCGAGTTTACAAGAAGCCATTCTTAAGTTCACTGGTCCTATCCTCTGCCACCTTTCTTGACTTTATGTGAAGAATCAGCATGCCCTAATCGGTTTGGCTCAGTGGATAGAGCGTCGGCCTGGGGACTGAAGGGTCCCAGGTTCGATTCCGGTCAAGGGCATGTACCTTGGTTGCAGACACATCCCCAGTAGGGGGTGTGCAGGAGGCAGCTGATCAATGTTTCTCTCATCGATGTTTCTAACTCTCTATCCCTCTCCCTTCCTCTCTGTAAAAAATCAATAACATATTTTTTTAAAAAAAGAATCAGCAGTGCAACCACATACCCTCATGTTTTTATTTTAATAGTCATTAATGTTTACCCACAAAAATGGCTAGTATAGCTATAGAAAGGTACGTTTACATGTTACATATATATATATTTTTTTTTATTAAAAATATATTTTATTGATTTTTTACAGAGAGGAAGGGAGAGAGAGAGAGAGTTAGAAACATCGATGAGAGAGAAACATCGATCAGCTGCCTCCTGCACATCTCCTACTGGGGATATGCCCGCAACGCAGGTACATGCCCTTGACCGGAATCGAACCTGGGACCTTTCAGTCCGCAGGCCGACGCTCTATCCACTGAGCCAAACCGGTTTCGGCGACATGTTACATATATTAAAATAACTTTCGATTGCATCTGATAATTTTTTTTAAAAATTAGTCTTATTCTGAAAAATTTGTTCCGAGTATGGAGGAAATTTACTGATTCTTGTGACCATCCTAATTCAATGTCTGAACCTTGTTTTTTTTTCCTTGTAGGGCTCGTGCGATTCGCTTCAGACAGGACGGTGATGAAGCTGTTGGAGGATTCTTCTCTCAGATTGGACAGTTATACATGGTGCATCATCTTTGGGGTATTTATTGTTTTATTCCTTCATTTTTGTGTTACTGGGACTTCACAGTTTATTACTAAATAAAATGTACTAGGCAGTAAAGGGTATCTCAAGTCAGTCATCTGAAACTGTAGCAAATGCAAATGTCACAATGGAAGCTAAGTTCTGGGCTGTCTGGAATGAGAGGTCAACAGCAAAAGTGTCCATAGACTTCTGGTAAACTGATCATCCAGGAGGGGATAATGGTGAAAGGAATCAGAGAGGTGAAGTCAGCAACCATGGCAGAAGCAAGATGGTAAAGCTACTGCCGGGCTGGTTTGGCTCAGTGGATAGAGCGTCAGCCTGGGGACTGAAGGGTCCCAGGTTCGATTCCGGTCAAGGGCATGTACCTTGGTTGCGGGCACATCCCCAGTGGGAGGTGTGTGGGAGGCGGCTGGTCGATGTTTCTCTCTCATCAGTGTTTCTGACTCTCTATCCCTCTCCCTTCCTCTCTGTAAAAAATCAATAAAATATATTTAAAAAAAAAAAAAAAGATGGTAAGGCTACTGAGTGCTTCACGGCATGGTCCCTACCATCCTTTCTGGACCCTGCACCCTCTCCATTGCTGCCACAGAGACAGCTCCCTGCACGTGAACTCATTGCCCGCCGGGGTCTTGTTCTCACTGGCCTCTTCCTTCTTTGGTATCTTTCAAGCCTGACTCAGTGTTCCCCCTCCCCCGAAGTGCATGTCACTCTCCTGAGCCCCAGTAGTCACAGCTGTGGCTATCTGTGTCTATCTCCCTGCTGGAACAGGAACATTTTGGGCACATTTGTAAATGGTTATTAAAGTTTAAAGAAATGAAAAGCCTAACTTATTTCCAGACCATATCAATGAACTAAGGGTGAGTTTGACCTATTTGGTCCCACCAGGTGCCACACCCCGTCTGCCTGCTGTGTTGGCTTGTCTGGGTGACAGAGGTACGGCGACCTAGTTAATGAGGGGTAAAGCAAACATGAATGACATGTCCCGAGGCAGTGAGTGTGTGATCATAACACAGGGCGAAAATTGATAAAAGATGGCATAGTAGCTAAACTTAGGATCTAGATGGGATTGGCAGGTAACCGTGGGAAGGAAAGACTAGAACAGTGATGGAGACATGAGAAATTAGAAAAAGGGCTCAGAAAACTACAAGTGCAGACTGGCTGAATGGTAGAATATGTACCAGGGGCCTAAGACTGGTGGTTAAGCTGAGGTAGAAAAGTAGTTTTTACATTGTGTTCCTGGAGCACCCTGCAAACCAGGGTCTGGAGAGGAGACCCCCACCCTCCCCCAACCAATCACGGCTTCGACCAGGTGCTCATCTCAGCTGTACACGCGGGGCGTCCCGGGCAGTTAGGAGACTGAAAACCCCGCACCCAGTGACAGATGCCACAGATAACCCGCATCTCCACGGAACCTCGGGGACAGCCGTGTCCTGGGGCTTTTCGCTAGCTGAGATTTGACCTCATCAGTGTAAGCGTTTTCAAATGTAGCAGGTTTCGAGACAGAACTTTAAGAAATGTGTTGTGTTCCTGCCTTTTAAGATTATATAAATCTAACCTTCATTGATTTGAGGTAGGGGTGGAGTCGTTTTTATGTTTTAAATAGTGTATGGTCTGTCCAGAGGATATAAACTGAAAAGCCAGGCCTCTTCACTCTCGTCCTCTGAGCTTGGAGAGGCCTCCGGGAGTGGCTCCTGCACATCCTCCTAGATCAGGGGTGGGCAAACTTTTTGACTCGAGGGCCACAATGGGTTCTTAAACTGGACCGGAGGGCCGGAACAAAAGCATGGATGGAGTGTTTGTGTGAACTAATATAAATTCAAAGTAAACATCATTACATAAAAGGGTACGGTCTTTTTTTTTTTAGTTTTATTCATTTCAAACGGGCCAAATCCGGCCCGCGGGCCGTAGTTTGCCCACGGCTGTCCTAGACATACTCCATACATGAGCCGCACAGGGATGTACTTGATAGGTCAGGGTCACCATGTGCTTTGACTCCCAAACGGAGGTCACGCCATGTGCACACACCATTCACTTCCATGCCCACAGCATGTCTGAATGGGGACGCCCAGGTGAAGGAGTCAGGACACAGGCAGGCACTAGAGTGTGAGTGGCAAAGCTCTGACAGGCTGTGGCGGACACAGGACAGTGCCTTTAACTCTGTCCCATGGGGAGGATGCGAGGCTTCAGGGAGCAACAGCAGGGTGAGAAGTCCACCAGGATCCGCCTCACGCAGACAGAGGCCAGGAACAACGTGGATTTCAGTGTCCAAAAGAGGCCAGACTCTACACCTGTGTCTTCTTAGGCAGTGCCCTTCTCCTCCTTCATCCCCAGTCAGTGTCCCAAATATTCACTCCCCGCTTCCTAGTTTATACAGAAGAGTATTGAGATATGCAGAGATGAATTCTCAGTCACCTGTCTTTGAAACTCACCCTCACTTTGCCTAAAGTTGGTCCTAAATTCCCAAAGTAGTCTCCGTGAAAACTGGATGAACAGCTGGGTCAATACTTAGTGGAATGTCGGGCATTCTGTTTGATTTACGTCTTGTTTTTTCTGTGTGGTTATTTCAGCTTACAAGGACCTTCAGACAAGGGAAGATATACGGAACGCAGCATGGCATAAACATGGCTGGGAAGAATTGGTGTATTATACAGGTACTATTTTATTCTTCTCACATTATTGTTTTATTATCATTCACCTCGAAGCTAATATGTACTTTTTTAAAATAGTATATTGTTCTAGATGGTGAATTATAAGGTTGGGGTGGCAAGGGAGTCAAATTTTTCTTTAATAGTTACATCACTTTTTTTCAATAAAGAAGAATATTCATTCTTTAACGTATGTAGTTGTCTGGTACAGTTTTCAGACCCTTGTATGTTGAAAATTTTACATCATTAGTTTTTTTTGCACATTTCTACATTCTCTGAAAATTTATTTAAAAAATTTTCTAAGCTTTTCCTTTCTCAACAAACTTGTGCATTCACAAAATCATTACAATTTAATACAGCAATTAAAAAGTAATTTTGAAATTTAACTTGATATTTAGACTTTCGTGTGTGTGTTTGTATTTACATGTATACCTATGATGCACGTATAACCACATACATATGTACTATGAAAGCATCGCTGCTTGATCTTTATAAGAAAAATAGGGCTAAATACAACCCGGCCTACCAATATAGGTAATAAGTACCAGCCATGTTGCATGTAAGTACATTTATGCCCATGTACTGCCAAGAAAATCAAGGAGTAATTTGTTCTAGAAAATAAGTCATATAATTGTGTCTTTTGCTGCTTATTCTTACACTTTCATCAATTTTCAGAGGTGTGTTCTACTCTGCAGTGAGTTTTATAAGTACAGTGTAGGAATACAGTTAGGTGCAACATTATTTGCTTTTATATAAATTTATTTTAGTTCAAAGAACCTTTTGAGAAAACACTATTTTCCTAATTTCCTACAAATTACACACATCTCTAGACAGAATCTGTTATAATTTTAATAACATTTTATAGGATGCTAGCTGATCTGTCATTATCTTGTATTTTCCAATATTTTATTCTGTGATTTTAAGCAGCACAACCCTGAACATTCTCAGAAACCTGTTTGTTGATGTATATTGACCGTTATCTGTTCAGAAAAGAACAAGACAGTAACCTTGACCCTGTGTTCAGTTCCACTTATTCAGGAAATGGAATCCAGAATCATGATCCCACAGAAGACCTCTCCCCTCCAGTAGAGCTGCAGAGTTTAGATGTGCCTACATAAATTCATGTGACAAGTATTTGTCATAAATTAATTTTAACTGTATATCAAGTGAAAAACACTGAAGTGTAAACTGCTGTATATAGCTTATGAGAGATCCCTTTTCTTTAAAATTTATGTAAGTCTAAGAAAAGGAAACTTACAGTTTGATTGTAACAGTGCTCTGTAGTCCTCTTTGAAACACCCCTGTGTTTGTTGAATAAACCTGGTAATACTGAACCATCTTTCCCACCCTCCGGGAAAAGAGGGCCCAAATTAAAAATTTGAATCCTCTCTAAATAAGAATCTAACCATGAAAAAAATATTAATCATTTCTTTTAAAAAGCAAATCTGTCTTATAGTTACAGATTTTTAGACAAATTTCTTGTATCAGGAAGAAATACAAATTTTGTCATGTTTCTCTGGCAGTTTTTTTGAGTCTCAGACTAGGAACAAATTATGAGTAAACCCAATCTGACTGTTTTCGTTCACTCCCATTTTCAATCAGTCGGCATAGTGAATGTCGTCACTAAGATGATCACGCTGCCAGGGTACATTGAGGCTGATTCAGTCCTTGCACAGCGTGAGGTGATGTCTCTATATGAGAGGGGAAATGGCTTGAACCTGTATATCATGTGATTTTGAAATGGACACCTTGAATAGTACTAATTTTTATTTGTAATATTTTTCTATAACAAAATGAGAAGCACTTGAGAAAGGTTTTATTTTATAAACAATCATTCATGACCTCAGACATTGTCCATTCATATTCTAGTAAGGTCACAGCAGATACTTCCACAATCATGCATGAGGAGTGGTGTGTGCTGAGATTTCAGTTGGCATAAAGCTGCATACTTGTCTAGCTCTGTTTGATTTCTGATTTCGTTTTTTAATATAGTGTGCCAGTTTTGTGACTGTAATCATGTAAAAGTCCTCTTGAAATGAAAAATTGTCTGATCCCCAAATTAAGTAATTTATGTGTAAAATAAAGTGTGAATAAATCTCATATCAAATTTCAAACTTTTACATGTGAATGATTTTCTCCAAGAACATATAAAAGTCAATAAAATTCTCTGACTTTTCACATATGACATGCTTGCGATCTTTTTTATGAACTTGTGCTGAAAATGACTCTGTCGCTCTTGAAAAATAGCTTGTCCCAGTTCAGTGGACGAATGTGAGTCTACAGAGTAAAATACAGCCAAACCTCGGTTCTCAGACACCTCCCATTTCGAACTTGATTCTCGACCAAGTTGATCACAGAGAAAATGTCTTGCTTGTTAAACAGACCTTTCCTACGGGTACATCATCATAACAAAAAGCATCTCTCCGTTTACTGCTAAACCTCCCTTTGTTAAAATCTCAAGAAATTGTGATGTGAATATTTTTGTGGGTGTTTTTGCTCTTGTTGCTGGCTAAATGGATGATTAGCACAATTTAAAGCATAAAGAGGCCATCATCAAGTGCTAATGTTGCTAAGGGTGTGAAAGAAAGTGATCACAGGCAATTGAAGAGGTAGAAAAACTGTTGAAAAGCAGTTTGCTGGTGAAGCTAATTTTTCAAAGTATCAACTTTATTTTAGCATTTCCTACCCACTTTGTGAAATCCTTTTATTAAACCCCTGAATAGAATAAATTGTATTCTTTTGTACCACTATTAATTTTCGGGCCATATTAAAAACTTCTGATCTCATTTCCCATTCATTTAGTGTAAGTCTGGCGAATATTACTTACATAAGCCAACTCATTTTTAATGGTCATTCATGTGAGATCACCCTACTGCCTTTAAAAGGCCTCGTGGACCCACACTTGGCTGAACCTGCTTCTTCTCTCTTATTCTCACAACTGCCTATGAAAAATCCTTTTTCAGTTCTACATTAAACTTTTTTTCTTAAATTTATACTTTTGATTTCTGGCTGAGACATAGATGTTCAATAATATGTTTGATGAATCAATAGAAGGAATGAGAGGAAATAAAAGGAGAGAGAGAGAAAAGGAAGGAAGGAATAGAAAGTATGGAGACTGTCAGCTCTAATTACAAAACAACTGGGACTCTCAGAAAGCAGGGCAGGGACTTTATTCATACACATTTTTTTAAAGAATAGTTCACTGAATTTTAGAAGAGGAAGGGAGAGAGAAACATTGATGTGAGAGCATAACATTGATCAGCTGCCTCTTGCACACCCCCAATCCCAGGATCAAACCTGCAACCTGGGCTTGTGTCCTCACTGGGAATGGAACAGGCAACCTTTCAGTGCACGGGGCAGTGCCCAACCAATGAGCCGCACCGGCCAGGGCTTTAGTCACACTATTTTTGATGCAAGTTCCTTAGAAATTAATATGCCTAAAGCTCAGTAAAAATTCAAAAGGAAGGCAATAAACATGGATAGAATTATGTTCAGAATTAGAAACTGAGCAGCAAAGTACTGAACAATCTTCTACCTAGTACTAAAACTTTTCCCAGAGTTCAGTGACCATTAAAAATGAAACTTGAGCCCGGCCAGCATGGCTCAGTGGTTGAGCCTTGACCTATGAACCTGCAGGTCACAGTTCAATCAGGCAGGGCACATGCCTGGGTTGCAGGCTCCAGTGTGGGGCATGCAAGAGGCAGCCAATCAACAATTCTCTCACAGCATTGATGTTTCTCTCTTTCCTTTTCTCTCTGAACTCAATAAAAATACATATTTTTAAAAAATGAAACGAATTTTTTGCAAAACAGGCCTTCCATTTGTTGTAACGTACCCCGCGAATCACATAAGGACGCCTCAAGAAGTCGAATTAAAGAGTCACATTTATTGCAATCCGGGACTATGAGGGGCCATTCCCAAATCTCATAGCAATAAGATGGTGGCAAAACCAGACTTATATAGGCAAAAATCACAAAGGTATTGATTACATCCCAGGGTTTGGAATGAGGCACCTGGCTCACAAAAAAGCAGATTACAGAAGCAGAATTAAGCATGTTAATTACTGTTTCGGGTCTCGGGGTCACTGAATTGACAGAAATACATTATCTAGAGCCCTTGGGTAACCTGGGTTAAACTTAGGCATGCTATCTCAATTACAGTTTTGGGTCTCCGGATCACTGAGTTGATAGAAACACGTTATCTAGAGCCCTCGGGTCTCCTGACCACTGAGTTGTCAGGACAATTTAGAGTAATTGTGCTGTCCTGGTCTCAGGACCACTGAGTCAGCTGAAACGCACCACCTGTGGCCACTAAAACAATTTTAGGGTAATTGTGGTGCTGTCCTGTTTCCCAGGTACAGAAGAATGTGCTTCGATAACCAGTAAGATCACAATCAATGGGAGAGTCATTCAATCAATAAGGCCTTCAATCGAATGGGATGATTTATACAATTCAGAAAATCAAAATAATCTGTCCATTGTTAAACAAAGCAAATAGGTACCATACTTCACATTCTAGGACAGGGGTGGGCAAACTTTTTGACTCGAGGGCCACAATGGGTTCTTAAACTAGACTGGAGGGCCGGAATAAAAGCATGGATGGAGTGTTTGTGTGAACTAATATAAATTCAAAGTAAACATCATTACATAAAAGAGTACGGTCTTTTTTTTTTTTAGTTTTATTCATTTCAAACGGGCCAGATCAGGCCTACGGGCCAGATCAGGCCTGCAGGCCGTAGTTTGCCCACGGCTATTCTAGGAGGTCAGATTTCATCTCTGCTGGATTAATATTGACACCTGTGATCACAATGTTAATTTAATAAGCTCCTGGCTTGACTCTAGTGAAGCAGATAAGGAATGCTGTGGAATCATGGCCTGGGTTCCAGCTCTGAATGTGACCATTAACGGTTGTGAGCTCGTTTCCCACCTGTTAAAAAGAGGACCGTGATTTCTATACTGCTGGCCTCAGGGTCATGACAGTTGCGAGAAAACAAAAACACCTTGGAAAATGTGAAATAAACGGTGTGACTGGTGGTCAGATAACGCCCCACGTTTTCTAACCTGATCATAAGGGTCCTGAGACAAAAGCCATGGTGTGTGCGCCATCCCTTCCTGAGGCTGACCACCAGAATCCCTGCAGCCCGGCCCCAGATCTAGCATCCTGCCCCCTGCTTTTGGGAGTGGCAGCCAGGTGGGCCTCCCTAGGTGACAAGCAGAAGCACTTGTCTCCAAGTACAAGAGAAAGAAGGCTCACAGCAGGAGTCTCACCTAAGGAGATGGGGGCGAGGAAGGGGATGAAGGCCACAGGGCTGCCTTGGTTTTCTAAGCAAATAAAAGTTTTGAGGGACTTGTTTCAACTTAATGCCATGACACATTCCAGTTCTTCATGTTATGACTCCCACTCCTCCCTGTTTTGTTTACATAAGCAGTGTTGATAATCAGCAAGACAGACGTGTCGCAGGATAGGAAGACACGTAATACCGCCGCCTCGTTGAGTCCCGTCCCAGTGGAGCCACATACATCACTCCCGGGAGAGCCATTCTGTCGCGGATTCCCATGAGTCAGAAAAGCATGATACCTACAATAAAGAATTTTTTTTAAAAACTGCTTAATGGTTAGTAGGTTTGTGCATGGTATAAAACTCTTCACAATTAATTTAATGAATAAAGAAAGAGATCTTAACAACAAAAAAAGCATGAAAGAGGTGAGCGCAGTTGTTGCCTCATTTCAAACTCACCCCTCGGACACAACAAAGAAGGAATTGTGAGAGCTGCTTTGTGCCACTGGCTGGGAGCTGGGGAGCCTGTGGGCCAGAGGAGGGGTTGTGTCGCTGCTATAAAAGGCTTCATGTGGGTATCACGCTTTCTCAGCAGATCAGACTCTTCGGAGCCAAATTCAATCAATGTGCACCTTCAGTTCAGGCCTACGGGTGGCAGGCTCCCGGGGCCACAGCTTCGCAGGCCTCTGCCCACACCAGTGAGGACTTGCTCCAGCTCATGCACACTGGGTGTTGGCAAAGCCGAGGCAGCTGGCAGCGCCCTTCACAGACCCGGCCTGCCCGGTCCTGCCCAGAGCACAGCACTGCCTCGAGTCCAAATGCCACCAAACGGCTTCTCGGAGAGCTGCCAGGGAGCTTTCACAACGAGGAACGACTGGGGAACAAGCGCCTCATTGTTGGTGATCTCGTTTAAATGTTGCCAGACCTATCCCATGTCTCCCCATAGAAATTCTGATGTTGAAGGAAATCTGATTCAGCCGATTTGATTATTTGGCTAAATAATTACCTGATTACTTGGCCAAATTTGATTATTTGGTTATATTATACATTTTTCAAGTAATTTCCAATATTAAACCCTTCTGGCCTCTTCTATTTAATCACAGTACCCATTGCCTGCCTCTTCCTAAATCCATCTTTTTTATCCTCACCTGAGGATATTTTTTCCATTGCTCTTCAGAGAAAGTGGAGGGAAGTAGGGAGGGAGAGAGGGAGGGAGGGAGAGAGAGAAACATCAATGTGAGAGACACATCAATTGGCTGCTTCCCACACACGCCCTGACCAGGGCTGGACATCGAACCTACAACCTTTCAGTGCGTGGGCTGACGCTTTAGCCACTGATCCACACCGGATTTTTCCTCTAGGGAGAGCATGTAATCTTATACTTTGAAAGCCATGTTCTGGAATTTCCTATTCTTGACACTGCTCAGAATAGACATGAACCTGGCTTCCACGTCACTTGTAAGAAACGGTTCATCTGTGCTCTTAGGAGAATTTCTTAATTCATTTAGGGGCAAGTGCTGCCCTTCAGTTGGAATGAGTAAAACTTGTTTCAGTTCTTTTACTTCATGTGGCTATCAAATACCCGTTCTTTAGGGTCAGAACTTTTGTTTCAGACTCCATCGTTTGTCTTAAGCCTTTGTAAGCATTCCCTAAATGACCAATTCCAAGTGGTAATAAAAGCGCTTCCATCCTTCATCGCCCAGAGCTTCACTCGACGGGTGGGTGAGCAGGGGCCTTGTGGTGGGAACATGTGACCAGCACTCTGCCCTGTGATCAGAGGAGAGGGGTCTCACTTCATCCCTAGGTTCCTTGCCTGCCTCAAGGTTGTTTCTACTCAAACACTTAAAAGTAATTGAAGTATTGGATATTGAAATACATTTGACAGGAAGAAATAAAAATTCCACA